TACGTCCAATGGATGCATGATCTGATTAGTCGACTAATCGCAAAAATAATCGGTGACTAGTCGACTATCAAAATAATCGTTTGTGGCAGCCCTATCTGACAGTGAGGGAGGGAGTCTTTGCAACTCTGAAAGCCTTCGTGTGGTCAACAACAGACATGTTATGCCCATATTGTGGTCTAAACCAATTAGAGAGAGAGATACTCAGTTAGAGGCGGGACCTCTCTGATTAGCCGTGGTCCAGATATTCCTGTAGGCCTATGTTTGAAAGTGCAGGCAGATAGAGAGAGGTGCGTAGCCTAGGCCTGATAGTGGATGTAGCTGTGGGTAATGAGAAAAGATGAAAAGAATGATTGATAACTTTTTCGTTAAGTTAAGGCCTGATCTGTTGAAATTCATAGCCAGTGCTCTGATAACCTCTCAGGTTACATCTAACACTGGTCCAGAGACGGCATCAGATAATGAGCCACATATGATCGACCTCTGAGCCAGAGCACACTGAAAGTAAAGGGGGGAAAGTGCATAAATTTCGAAGAGAGTGGCTTGACAAGTTTTCCTGGCTAAGATACAGTAAAGCTGCCAACATTATGCACTGCATTTTCTGTTGTGCGTGTAGAAAGATCATGACCATGCAATACTGCATTTGTGACTGGTGCAAATACATTTCAAATTGAAACGCTGAAAAAGCACAGTGTATCTGGAAAACACATTATATGACACAATATAAATGCACTGCCCAAGTGTCCCCTCTCTCCACTGCCTTTCAGCGGCAAGCAGCAGCAAACAGGTCATCAGAGGAGGCCAAGATGATGATTAAGTTTAACAGTGCCCACAATATTGCAAAGAAGAATTTCCATTCTCTAAGTTGAAGTTCGAAATAATTCTTCACAAGAAAAATGGCTTGAACATAAACTCCACATACAGTAATGATGTCACGTGCGCCCAGTTTTTGTGAACCTAACTTTTGCCATGGATGCACAGGTGCACCAATGCAACCATGGCAAAAAGTTAGTCTAGAGCCCTGGGGTATTATCGTCACCCTACTGGGCAGGGGGGTGGCATGGACACCTACATTTGTGAATGGGATAACGTAGACGCTTCAAGTTGATACTATAGGTGTATGTACTAAAAATCTCAGAAGAGTTCGAATCTCAGTGACTTTGACCTTAAGGTCAAAGGTGAAGTTTTATGAAAATCTTGTGACTGCGTTAACTGAAGAATAAAATTACGTAGAATTTTGAAATTGATCCCATAGGTGTGTCTGCTAGGAAGCTGAGAGGTAGCGTTGGTGGTTGGGCCGATACTGTTGTTTAAAATAACAATTTGATTGTGTTTGTTTTTTGGAAATGTAGTTATTAAAAAATGCAGTAGATGTATTCACACTCTTTGAATATTTAGACAGCCCACAACGGATTGATGTGTCACAGTACATAAACATCAGCCTCTGGCACTAGTAATCATCATCGTATTTGCAGACAGGGGTTTATATTATATTATTTTATATTATATTATATTTAGTGCTGTCAGCTTTAATCTTGTTAAAATAACGAGTTATCGCAAATCGCCCGGTGCGTGGGGCTGGACGGCGTTAATGAGCTAACTGTGCTAACGCATTGATGCTGTGTAGCCCCACGCACAGAGCGATTCGTGAGATTAACACTGACAGCACTACTTATATTAGATATTTCTTTCACCCCTACTAATTAATGAATATGTATACATAGTGTTTGCAATTGACTTGTTATAGAATGTTGGTTTATGTGACATTCCTGTTACCATACGTAATGACAGCTATATTGCCATCCAACTAGGGTCTTTGTTTAATCAGGTAAAATTTTCACAGCTCATGCCGCTTGTCTGTTTCTGCCAGGTGACTGTGGTGTCTGTGGCCTCCCCGACCTCCGGTGCTTCTCAGAAGTCTGTAGCACTGCCTGTGAATGTAGCACTTGGCCAGCAGATCCTGACAGTCCAGCAGTCAACATCTGTATCTCCAGTCAAGGTGGCCACTAGCCAATCAACAACGCAGGTAACATGAAAGCACAGAACAGTCAGTTGTAGTTGATGCCATCTGATCTGAGGGGAAAAAAGGAATTTAAAAAAAAAAAAACGTATTCACCTTGTTTGAGCATAAGTGTCATTTCAGCTCCGTATGAGAGTCAAGGAGTTGCAGCATACTGCTGTGATGTGCAGTCATGCTATTTTCCTCCTCTCTTCTTTCTTGCTCTTGAGTGCACCTCATTTTACTGCTACACACAAACAGGCCGCATTTAGAATTGAGCTGACAGGAAGCAGGTGAAGACGGAGACAACTCACTGTTACTGCAAGTGCAGTTTTAAAAAACAGAACAACCCCCCCCCAAACTTCCAGATAAGCATTACACTGATGAATGAAAACAAACATGCAGTTAAAAGCTGTGGAAAGATAAAAATAGAGTGAAATGGTGCTATGTTAGCTCTTGAAATAATAATTGCTGCTGTGTAGTGAACACAGAAAGGAAGTGAACAGATTTAATCACTTATATCCGATCCAACCTTTTTGGGTCAAAATGGAGGAAATCTGTTCTAAATATCAGATTGATACATCTGCAGTTGGTGGGATTGTTGTTTATAGTCTGACACAGTTTGTAGTAAACAGACTGTTCATTACTCAAAATGACTGGCTCAGTTGTGCACTGCATGCTTTGATTTAATTTTTTTTCTCTCAAATTTGTACCATTCTGGAAATATTTCACTTTTTCTGGTAATAAAGTTCCATCTGTGAATCACCACCTTATCATGGTAGAGGATTCGCGTGGTCCAGGGGTCCCAGCAGCTATGTTATTGGGTGGTCTTTTGCCCACTGATAGGATCTCCCAAGGCAAATTGGTCCTGGGTGAGGGACCAGACAACGGGCAATTCAGAAACCCCTATGAGTGAAACCGAGGAGGGTGCCTGAGGGCTAGCGCCTGTACATTGGAGTTTTTCCTGGTGGACGATCCCGGTTTTTCCCACTGCAATTTCTAGAGAAACTGAATTTTCTTCTTTGTATATAAAACAATAAGTTGTGCAGTTGTTTTTGTTCGACGGACTGCACTGCTAAAGCCATGGCCATCTGATGCAGGAAAGGCAGGACAGACCGTGTCATGTTTATCTCAGTGCACTATGTGGGGCACCAATGATGATAACTTACCTCTCATATAAATCTTACCTCCATAGCAATATACATTTTTGCCAGAAATAAAATGGTGTAAGATTGTTTCCAAGCAGATAGAATGATAATTAATGCTCAAAACAATTAAATGTTTTCATGTGACCACATGCCCCAACTATGATATAAGATTGTTTTTATGCATTTTACATGTATAACAATGGATCAGCATTTGGGGAGCTTAATCCTGGCCTGCAAAAAAGAAACTGAATTACACTTTGAAGATTGTATTGCCAGTAAAACGGGCAGCTCTTACCAAACTGCTTTCAGGGTGAGGTTCTTTAGTTTTTGTTGTTGTTGTTGTTGTTGTTGTTGTTGTTGTTGTTTTTTTAATTTTCTTTTCTATTACTGGCTGTTTCTCCGTTTGATGTGAATGTTTTCAGAACATTAAACCTGTGGCTGTTGGAGGAGTGGGAGGTTCCCAGTTTAAAACAATCATACCCCTGGCCACCCAGCCCAACGTGCAGCAGATCCAGGTGCCTGGCAGCAGGTTCCACTACGTTCGCCTCGTCACAGCAACGACAGCGAGCAGCACAGGACAGCCCAGTGGTCCCAGTACCAGCTCTATACAGACAGGTGACCTATGAACTTGTTTTGTTTCCTCTGCTAACAAATGCAGGCAGCACTTAGTAATTGCGCTGTACCAATTCATGATGGTGCTTATCCCACAGCTAAACCTATGGTGGTCAGTACAGCAGCAGTCAGGATGTCTGTCCCAGTTGTCCCAGCACAGACCATGAAACAGGTAACTTGATTATCCAAGTTCATTCAAAGAGAACTTTCTCTGAAATGTCCCTTGAGCTGCATTCATGGTTTTTATTCCCCGTAGGTGGCACCTAAGCCCTTAACATCAGGACCACAAGTAGTAACCACCACTCAGACTCAGCAACGTTTGATCATGCCTGCGACTCCACTACCCCAAATCCAGCCCAACTTCACCAACCTCCCTCCAGGCACCGTCCTGACACCAGCTCCAGGAGGAGGGAATGTGGGTTACGCGGTTGTGCCAGCACAATATGTCACACAGGTTAGCGAATTATCTTTGTGTGCTTTTTGGTTTGAAGGGTTTTTTTGTTTTGTTTTGTTTTTGTTTCTTTGTTTTTAAAAGATGGATTTCCTTTTCCTGAGTGAGTTTCAATATCGTGTTTCTGCTTTTCTCATAGATCCAGCAGCCACCATTTGTGACGCTTGCCAGCAGCTCTAGTTTTTCTGCATCCACTGGTATCCAGACTCAGGCCAGATTGCCTCTTAATGGGTAAGAAATGGTAGAAGCCATCTTACTATGACTTTTGTTTTTATATATATTGCATTGAAAGACTAACTAAATGATATCTGTTCTATTTAAAAAGATGTTTACCAAAATATTAAAGTGATTTTCTTCATTTGTTCTCGTGACTGTCTATAGTTTAATCTAATTAATGTTCATTGGTTCAGTTTGTCAGCAGCAGAAACAACCTCAAGACCAAGAAAACCATGTAACTGTACCAAGTCACAGTGCCTCAAACTGTAAGTGTAACTGTCACTGATAATAATGTTTATCCATTGGATAAATCTGTCCAGGTGTAGCTCAATAATTAATACATGTTTGTATACAAACTATATGTTTGTAATTTCAGCTGAATATTTTGTAAAGTCATCTGTGACATTATATTTTAGCTTTTTGTCTGTGAGTCAGAAAGAAGAAACCATTCAAGTTCCTGTTTACGCTCCATAAATATTGATGCATATTTTTAATATTGCAGATAGTTTTTTGCTCATCTGGCAGAGGGACAAGTCTCTTTTTTAAAAAAACATTAAGACAAAAGTTCAGTGGACTTGAGCTTAATTTGATTTGTTGGTCAAAGTAGGGCTGGGTTTTTATTAATGAACCTGTAGAAGGATTATCAGTTGCCTGCAGCTGCCTTTGTCTCCAGATTGCTCAGGTTCTCTAACCTGGTATGCTTTCAGTATTTGTGACAGTTGGCTTTCTGCGTTGGCTCTCTGTTGTTTGCTTCCAGCTGCTGTGTAGGTCTCCTGAGGCTCACAAGCCCACTGCCACTTGTGGCTAGCTAGCTGTGTCCCTACCGGCACCCACAGCCGTCTTACAGTGGAGGCCAAAGGCTGGCAGGGAATCACGTGTGCCCTTGCAAAATGAGATTTATGGTCATAAACACCCCCTGGGGTTTTTAACCCTCATTGTATTTAAAGTTAAATAAAATCTCAGTTCAGTGACTTTATTATGTTTACTTTAAGGAATAATCATTGTTAATAATATAGATAACAGTAATCAGTATTATTATGTTTGCACTAATCTAGCAGCTTTCAGTCATATTAATCTCATACACAAATGCCTGGGTAAAAACTCTAAATTCATGACCTTTATGTCCAGGAGGTCAAAGAACAACTTTGCTATGAATCGCCATGGTAAATGATAAATGGACTGGTATTTATGGTTTTTATAAGTGCTTTATACAACACGCCTAATTCATCCTTTCACACAAGCACTTCTTTTTACACCTAAGTGCTCTCTGATGTGTTTCTTATTAACACTTGGAGCATAACTTGGGGTTCAGTATCTTGCCTAAGGATACTTTGGCATGCAGACTGGAGCAGCAAGAGATTTAACAAACAAACTTCCAATTAGCTGACCTGCTTAACTGGTAATGGCTAGTTTAAAAAAATCCTAATACAGTGTTATTTTGTGGTGGAAACCGTTTTTCCTTTTTATCAGAGTTTAGGAAGCACTGAGAGACTTAATGTTGCTGAATCAAATTACAGTTGACATGGTTTTATTAAATGATGTTTTATTTGGGTTTTTTTTGTTTGCCTTCCTATAGCTACTGTGACTGTTTTGCAAATGGAGAGTTCTGCAATAACTGTAACTGCAATAACTGCTTCAATAACCTGGAACATGAAACTGAACGTCTCAAAGCTATAAAGGTGAGGCAGAAGTCCACTTTCTGAATTCTGTTTTTGGGCTGAACTGCATCCTGTTTGACTCATAAATTGCTGGACAAACATGTTTTCACAGACTTGTCTTGACCGAAATCCAGAGGCCTTTAAACCTAAAATTGGTAAAGGCAAGGAGGGAGAGTCGGACCGTCGACACAGCAAGGGCTGCAACTGCAAACGCTCAGGCTGCCTGAAGAACTACTGCGAGTGCTACGAGGTAGCGCTCCAGTTTTCTTTTTTTTTACAGATGGCGTCACCTCCATTCATTCTTCTTGTATTGGCATTTATTTCCTTCATTTTTGTTTCTCTTCACAGGCGAAGATCATGTGTTCGTCCATTTGTAAATGCATCGGCTGCAAAAACTTTGAGGAGAGCCCGGAGAGGAAGACGCTAATGCATTTGGCAGATGCAGCAGAAGTGAGAGTTCAGCAGCAAACGGCAGCCAAGACCAAACTATCCTCACAGATCTCAGATTTGCTCATGCGGACGACGCCTGTGATTTCAAGTGGAAGTGGCAGGTACCTGAAACACAGTTCACACATTTTTCAACATAAAATCAAATCTGCAAAGAGCTTCTTTTACAGTAAGCATATGAAATGTACTTTTGTAGAATCTTTAGATAAAGAGTGTTGCACAAGTAAGGGCTGCAGGAGATTGACTGACAGATTGGTACAGGATCTGCAGTGATGCAGACACAGTACCGCAAGAATTAGATTATGGAAATGGTCTGCCAGTGAAGGGTGGCTGGACACTGCTTTAGAGAGAGGGTGAGGAGCTCAGTTATTTGGGAGGGACTGGAGTCGCATATTTTGATGGCTTATGAAGGCCTTTATGTCACCCTGGAAGAGGGAGGTTTGGGTGAATCTGGATCCTGATACTCAGGAGAGATGAGTGAATAAAGCACTTATCTTTTATTTTATTTCAACAATAATGGCTACATCCCAGATACATTGTAAGGAAGTCTTCTTTTCTTGCAAGGACCAACTTATGTCTAGGCATGCACCCTGGGCACCAAACCAATACCAGTGTTAAATTAATACGCTGTATAGAAGAAGACACTCAGAATCTCTGTTATCTGCAATGCAACATCAAATTTGACCTAAACTACCTAAACTTTAAAACTTTAAGTAGAGACGTATGCGCTTTCAGAAACGGTGCAAAATGTGTGTGTTTCCTGTACAAGCTGCAGGAGTGTCAGCACATCTATATGAAGCTATGGGGGGTCATTAAAACTCACTTGTGTCTGATTGACATGGAGTCTCCACGATCCATCTGCTTACTACTGCTGAGACCAGATAATGATGGCTTTTTGTCAATACTCAGACTTTTATTTTGCTTTTCCCCCAGGCTCCCATATACGTTTGTAACAAAGGAAGTGCTTGAAGCAACATGCGAGTGTCTGCTGGAGCAGGCCAAAAAAGCAGAACAGACTCACCAGCCTCAAGTTGAGGCAGAGAGGATGATTCTGGAGGAGTTTGGACACTGCCTCATGAGGATAATCAGCTCGGCAGGGAAAGCCAAATCAGACTGTGCCTCCATCAACTGCTAGGCTGAGGCCTGTAAAGGCTCTCCACCCTCTAACCCTCCTACCAGCTGTGGAGGCTAAGAGCATGGATTACTTTTTGCACTCTGTCCTAGACCCCAGGGTTTCTGGCCTGCAGGGAAACAGGTTGTCTCCTTCATCAAAAGGCAGAACAATGAACTGAAGGCAGGCAGATCCCACCCCCACCCCCCTGCCTTAGCCAAGCTGAGGCCAGCTGGAATAATAAAAAACATGGAGCAGTTGTTTGCACTGTTCACCTATGCTAACAGAAGGAGAAATGGACTGGCTTTGAAGACGTTACCATACTTGCCCACCTGAGTGTGATGCACACAAATGACTGAACAGGAATACAAATGTTCTTTCACTTGATTTTCTTTTTTTAAAATTTTTTTTCCCCAAATTTCCCTTCCAAACCTCTATTAAATGTTTCCTTCACATTTGCTCTTCCATTTCACTCTGTTTTTTTTAGGTTTGTTTTGAGGTTTAAAAAAAATGCCTGTAATTTTATGTAATCCGTATATTTGTGCTTTCAGTAGACAAAAAAAGAATATGTATCTTTTGATATTTATTTTCACAGGTATTTGTAATCATTGTCAGCGCTAATATTGTGTGGCTTCAAATGCTACAACATGTTAATTATTAACCAAGGCTAGGCTAAATTGTTTTAATGAGAAATAAGTAGATGCAATCTTTGGTTTTATCCTAAATCCAAATGTAAGATGAGTGCACACACACACACACACACACAGTACAGAATAGTTGTAACTTGGTTACACTGACAGAGGTTCACATTTTTCCTGGTGCTGTTTTGTTTTCTTAGTTACATGCTTACTGTACATTAAAGACCAATTACACCCACGTGACTTGTTGGTGTTCTTTCAGATATCTGGACACGATAGCCTGAGTGTTGGTGTTTTCCAGCACTGTCCACACCTGTGTACCTTTAGACCCTCTAATGTCTCAGTTTTAGTCTGGCCTAAGCTATAAAACTGAGACTTGTGAACAAGGGCTAGAAGAGCTGCTTGTTGTGCTTTCAAGTAAACAAATGTGGGCAAAGCTTGTTTTTATGTTTGTTTGTTTTTTTGTATTTAGGTTATAAACTTCAAACAGAAAAGTTATTCACGGAGTTCCACGGGAACACTGTCCCAGTACTGTCAATGAAGCTAGATGACACAAATCAATTAAAATACAGGCAACTCTGAGAAACATAAGTGTTGTAAAACCCATTTAAAAAGCATTCGGCTGATCCAAAACACTACATCAAGTATGCTAACAGGAAAAGAGATCGTATTTCTCTTATATTGTTTTCTCTTTTTTGTTCTGCCTTCGAGCACCATTACAGACCTGCTAGTTCTATTATTTTTCATTATTTCTCTCATGTACACACTCATATACAGACATGATATATCTGTCAGCATACATTCAAGTAATCACTTCAGACTTCAGTCTGCTGAAGAAGGCTCATTAACCAAAGCATGCTACAGCATCTGCCAAACATGCTGGAGGTGGAAGCATTGCTATGGCATCTCTGTATACCTGCCATTGGAACTGAGTCACTGGTGTATATTGATTATGTGACTGCAGATAGAAGAATTCCTCACTCTCTGCTCAGCCAAAACTGACCGGATGGTGTTTCACAGTGTAAATGGATAATTTCTTTGCAAAGAAATGGGCTGTCCTTCAAAGGATAGGTCAGTCGTCTGATTATACAGGTTACTGAAGAAAAAGGGGAAGGCAGAGAGACGTTACTGTGTGCTGTGTTTTTTAAGAAAGAGAAAAGAAGAAATGTAAATTACTTCTAGACGTCAGGCAGTTGTTGACTGCAAAAGATCTTCATGCAACTAAAGAGTCCTTACATTTGAAATGATGTCAATTTGTCCAATAACCTTTGAACATATAAAAATAGGCAACCTTGCATAGAAATATTTGTAATTCCTAAAAAGTTAGCAGAAAATTGTTTTACAAGTCGCTGAATTAAAGCTAAAGGTCTTATTATTAGGTAGACATGGTAAATGCAGGTGCGATTACTGAGATAAAACAGTGCAACGTGTCGGATGTGTGAGGCAGAAAGAAAGAAGGTTGAGTAGATTTTAACTGGGTCTATTACAAATATAAAGCAACGGGGGTTATCAAGTTGTATTTCTTTATGTTGTTTTTCTGTACCACTTGGTGGCGACAGTCATTGGTGGTGGCAATCCACCACTTCGTTGTTTGACCGTCGAAGAAGAAGAACAGCAAGAAGAAGACACACAAAGAAGAAAAAGAAGCAGAAGGAGAACCATGAGTGTTGGTGTTGGCGGTCAGTATCATGGCTGGGAAAATAAGGCTCTCAGAGAAAATTAGTTTTTGAAATACGAATTGTTATATGTACCTTAAATTGCATTATCTACACCATTCCTCTAGGTTAAATGTGTAGACGGTTTGGGGAGCTAGCTCACTTCTGAACGTGATTTGAAACGAGATGTGGCATTGAACGTTAGCCCAGCTAACCCCTCTGCACGTGTGGAGAGAGACTAGGTTGCAAACTTTGCTGGTTTGGTGAAAAAGTAAAATGTTGATCAAGAGTCGGCGGCAGCAAAATAAGCCAACATTTTCTGAAATTGGAGTAAACGCTTAAAAAAATCGGCGCACGTCCCATAATTCTAATTCTTTTTTTTCTTTTTTTTTTGCAAAATACAACTGTACGATAATCGTATTTTGCAGGCAACTTGTGTTCTGCTTCGTGTGCTGGTTTATATAGAAACTAATTGATTTTGTTTTCACAGGTTAGCTGCAGAAAAGAAGTTCCCTTGAAGTGAGCCACGTGTGGATGGGACTTGCATGTATGTATGTCTTCATGTCCAACAACATATTGTGAAATAAATATCCTTCCCAATGATTATACCAATCACTACCCATCTGACCCATTCATATGTCTGGGGAAGATTATACACACGCTTTCAAATGAGGGTGTTATCTTATATTTTCTTAACTAAAGTGCACCTCTACTGTTAAATTTAACAGTTTATTTTATTACTCCGATTGTTTTTACAGGGTTTAACTGCTGAAATGTTTCCCCGAGTTCAGGTGATGTATTGATATAGATGCATAATGACCTGACTGCTTTGCCTTCATGTTACTTTCAATTTGTCAAATAAAATCAAATTGTCAAGAAAGTTTTGTTTTGTGACATTCATTGGCTGTTGCTACTTTTTTTTAGTGCATATATTAAAACAATGCAGAAAAATACATTGCCTCTGATTCTCTTTACTCTTAGCATTGACAGAGTCAGACTGCTAATGTTGTAGATAAACTATAGTTACTCTAGTTCTATAGTTATGATTTTGTCCTACTGCTTTATCGCTATTTGGTGCTAATTTGTTAAAAAAAATTGGATTAATCCCTCCCCAAGATATTTGAACAGTTGTTAAGAAGGTAACTGAACAAGTTTTAATGACAATTTGAGTCAAAAAAGGCAAAAATATTTTATAAAATGTTATTTTTGGCCTGTGAGACTTCTTTTGTAGACTCAGCAAATTTGGAACTTTTTCTTAATAGTCACTCTGTTAGTAACCAAGTTTCTAAAGAGAATTTAAAATGTGTTCTTTTCTATTTTGTATTTTATGTGCAAACAATTAAATTCCATGTAGTTTTTATGTATATAGCACCAAAATCGCAACAGATACACCTGTTATTCCTATCGCTTAGGTGCCCTTTTTATGAGTGGCTTAAACAAACAAAAAAGGAATCACTCCTTTCAAAATGGTGCCGTACAAGAACTGAATGTGACTGAAAAAATAAAACCCTAAAAGAACAGCAAGAATGCCGAGAAAACTACAGCTCGAGTCATTGGGAGCAAAATATAAATGAATGAGGGGTGGCTAAAGAGTTTTGCATATTACTGTAAATGAAATACTTTAAATGATATAAAGACCGGTTCGTTACTATTCCTACTCCTTAATAAAGAAACACTTTAAAATGATAAATGCTCACATAAAATAGTTATTACTAATATTTTTAGCGTTTATTATAAAAATCTTAACATTAGCACAAGTTAGCAAACAGGGAGAAGCTCCCCCGGAAGTTGTTCTTCTTCGTGGCAGGAGGAGGCTGTTGCTTAGTGCCACGTTGATGGAGACCAGTGGGGACGTGGAAATCTGTCTCGAGTCCGCAGCCGGGACCCGGTAGCCTCTTCTTCTGTTTCTACAGCTGTAAATCCCTGAGCAGAATCGAAAGGGGAACCTGTACGGGCGGAGACAGTTAGTGTTTGCCTACTGTTTTTTTAATGTGTGCGTTCATGTGAAAAGAAGAGAAGAAGAGAAGGTAAGCTGCTTTAGTGAAGTAATAGATCTGTGTGCGGGTTTGTGTGAGTGTGTACCTGTTTCTTCTCTCATATGTTCTTGCAGGTAGCTAGCAGGCTTCTAAACGCAATATCTCATTGCATCTGCATTAGTCCAAGCCGAACCATGTCGTAGTAAAGATGTACAAGAAGTGACAATAAATTTACGCGCATTTCTCGTATTATTCGAGGCTCATAAACGACACGGCTGTGTGGCTTTTAATTGGTCCATCAGCTGTTAGCTTGCTGCTAGCAAGGACTTTTATTTTGTAATTTTAACCAAACGACTGCAAAACTTATCGGAGCTTCTTTTAAAGCTAAATGTAGCATTTCTGATGTCCTTTCCCGACACAGCCCCGAGCTACACGAAGCGTGTGATAATTAGTGCCAGTCAGAGCAGGCCTTTGTTACTCTGTAACTAGTGTATTTATTACAGCAGCAAGATGAATGGGAAAGCGTGTGTAAAACTGTAACTACTTGTTTATTAAGCGGTCCGCTCCCCTCGATGTAAAAGAGACAGATTCACACTTTTGAAAGTCGTTATTAATATGGTATTACAATTCTTTGACATTGTTAGCACACCTAACGGAAAATAATCCATAGCAGTCTTGCAATAAATGCAACTCCATGAATGTGTTGTGTTGTGGTTGAACTGATAGAAAAGTCAACACATAAAAACGGCCATAATAGTCACCATAAAAAGTTATCAATATTGATTTTTGTTTCCACAGCAGATTTCTGCTTATATATCCAGCCTGTCATAAGTGTCTAATGAACATTTAACAGTGTTTACAATGTGGTAAACGATGCTATAACTCAAATAAATAATTCAGTAAGATTCAGCTGGAACCTCTAAAGTGATCATACAACCAAGCCAGCACCTTGGGGAAACGCTAAGAAAAAACTGCACATGTTAACCTTTATAAAGCTACCATTAAAAAGCATTGTATTTAGCCACTTAATTTGAAACTGATCGTTTAAGCTCTTTTTTATTGTCATAGAAACTAAACTACATGAAAGGATCCAATATCTGGTTATTCTGAACGCTAAAGTGAGAGAAAAGTGTCATAAATAGATTGTAATAATCACTGCACAGTCGTTCAAACTATGCCCTTATTTCTCAAGGATGAAACTTAAAGAGATCAACCGCACAGCCATCCAGAGCTGGAGTCCTGCACAGCACCACCCCATCTACCTGGCAACAGGTATGAGCATGCAGAAAGCATCAGCACAGGCATGCATCTGCTGCCGTCTGTCACTTTGACATGAAATTACATAATTTATGTTGGTTACTTCAGCCATTTTCACAGCCTCTTTAAGTGGAAAATGACATGTTTAGTGTTGTATATTTAGGGCTGCAAGCATGTGGGACATTTAATCATGTGAGGACGATGCAGGCTTCAGAATTCTCTATGAAGTTGTCCTTATTATGAAAATAGCAGGAGGCCAGGGCAAATATTTGTAAAAGTGGGTGCTATCAGTGAACCTTTAACTCATATTCACTAAATAAGAATGAATGATAAATCAACTCTGCACCTCTGGAGACAGAGTTGTTATGGTGTGACTGTACAAACTGTCGGTTTTAATGAATAGAGTATTTTATCTGTAATTTACACTTAATGTGATGCTACCAGGTTTTTTTGAATGTACACCAACAGAAAATGTTCTGTCCCATTTCAGCTGGGTTTTCTTCTGTTTCAATTATAGCCATCATACTGTTGTTTAATCCCTGCTTTACATATTTGACATGATATAGTAAATGTATTAGATAGTAATTGATCATATGAGCTGTTCTTACTAGTAAAATACACTTTAAAAGAATATATTGAACTTATTTTTGCAGAAATAGCTACAAGGATTTTTTTCCTCAAATAATGAGCAGTACCATGCAGATATGTAATATCACAGTTTAAGAAAGGCAAAATTTGCCAAATAAATGATGCTACACATCCCCAAGAATCAGTTGTATGAGGGATAAAATGCTCTGGACTGATGATATAAATAGAGCATTTATCTTAACAGCTTGTTTTGTTTCCTTGTTTACATATTATTTTTCACACTTACATGTTTCAGATCATCAAACAGGTTTTAATATTAGATAAAGATAACTCAAGTAAATACAAAATGCAGTTTTTAAATGATACAAAAACGTTATCCAAACCTACCTGGCCCTTATCAACCGGGTTATGCAGCAGGACAATTATCTAAAACATACCACAAAGTCCACTTCTGAAAGTCCGATTCAGATGGCAAGGAATTGGCTTGTTTAGTGACCTTAAGTACACAGTGAGATTAGGAACGCCTCAATCCCTACAAATAAATCTGGTAAAAGCCAGCACGTCTCTGGTAAACCGCTTAGTATTAGTGTTACAGTTAGGCTGAATTTTATCTACATGCTGAACAAGCATAGTTTCTGTTACCTTTCACATCTAATTTCTTACATACATTTTGACTTTAGAATCCATTTGTTATAATATTCCCCTACAGATGAAAGTGAATGGTCGAAAAATAAACAAGAAAACAAAAAAATAATAAACAAGTGAAAAGCTAACTTGCTTACCTAGCATGGGTTCTCAGAAAGCTATGAGACACAGGAATGGAGATTTCCTCACTACTGCAAGAAACATTTCTACATAGTATAAGAGTTTGAAAAAACAAGACAACTGCACTTAAAGTTTTGTGAAGATGTTTCAACTCTCATCCAACAGGCTTGTTCAGTTCTGTGCTTTGTGAGTTCATTATTAGGGAAGTAAAAAGAGGAAGAATGCTAAATGATCACAATAACAACCCCCTTCACAAATATTGAGTGATAGTGGATATATTCATCCAGTGGTGCAGCTATTGTTGAAGATCAGAAAGCAGTGACAAATATCCATAACAATTTTTAATAAAAAATGGGACTTAAAGGCTTTATTGTTTTTATTTTTTATGTGATATTCTTCTAACTTCAATGTAGGACAAGAAAAAATGCAGATTTTTACAGCAAACAAAAGATTGTAAATTGTTTGGATTATGCGTTGGAAAAATGGCTTAATCTATAAACATAGCTGCATATAGTTTTTCTGTTGCTGATGTTTGATACCTGTACTCCTGCAGGAACATCAGCTCAGCAGCTGGATGCCTCCTTCAGTACCAATGCCTCCTTGGAGTTTTTTGAGCTGGATTTGGCTGAGCCATCTCTGGATATGAAATCATGTGGCAGCCTTTCCTCCAGTCACAGGTAGAATAAAAAACTCTCCTCAGTAATATTACTGATTTTCTATTTTCCGTCCTGCTGTTAATCAGGGCTTCTTCTTCTTCCTCCTCACAGATACCACAAGTTGGTGTGGGGTCCATATGGTATGGACTCCCAGGGTCATCCCTCTGGTGTTCTCATCGCAGGTGGGGAGAATGGCAATGTTATCCTGTACGACACTGCAAAGATAATGAGCGGAGAGAGCGACGCCATCATCGTTGAGAGCGACAAGCATACAGGGCCAGTGAGAGCTCTGGATGTCAACCCTTTCCAAGTATGGTGCTTTTCACCTTGTGCAAAGGATTTCAGCTTGAAGCTGGGTTTAAACCCCAGGCAGTGACTCATTTGGTGTTTTTTGTCTTTTTTTCCTGCAGACAAACCTTGTTGCATCAGGTGGAAATGAGTCTGAAATCTATATCTGGGATATGAATAACTTTGGCTCTCCAATGACACCAGGACCTAAAACACAGGTATGAAGAATTTTAGCCCTTTTAGTCTACAACTTACTCAGCTTGACTCGGCTCAGCTGAACTTGGTTTTTAGGGTTTTTTGATAGGTGGTAGTATCTCTTACTAAGTGCTTTTTTAGCACCTACTCGGCCGGGGTCTGAAGCGATCTGAATCAGTCTGAAAGTGTAACGTCAACAGATTGCACGCCACTGATTGGCCAGTCAGGGGCATCACTCGATGAGTCATAAGAATGACTCCTTCACAACAATCAAAATGGCCATTTTTTAAAACCTTCTAACGAGGGAAATGGCTACACAAAAACCAACACCGTGGTACTCAGTTGTTTTAGAAAACAACCAAAACTGAGTTGAGCCGAGTAGGTATTAGTGGAAAAGGGCCAAATAAATATCTACTAATGGCATTTTCCATTTTCAACCAGTTGCATTTTTAACCAATGTCGGTCTTCTAATGATCAAATATGACTAAAATGTTTTCCTTTTCAGAACTTTAACTCTTTAAATGTCAGTTTGTTTACAACATGCCATGGCTAATTTTCACTTTACTAAATGTGAGGCTGAAAATTTTGGGAGAATTACTACAGTTAGTGATATATCCATAACTAGAATCAGCATTAATTTGGATGCTTTGTTGTTGTAAGGACTACACAGTACCTTTCTACATTTCGTATACTTAAATGTACCATTTAGTGCTTTTTTGGTATTACTCTGCTATTATATCATCATCTTTCAAATATTTTAGTTGTCAGTTTTATGTTGGGCACAGTTTTTCTCAATTCATGTATCTAATTAACATTTGTATATGACACTAATGAATGAACAGTCCATATGAATGTTTTTTGTTTTTCTCTTAAAGCCAATGGAAGACATCAGCTGTGTGGCTTGGAACAAACAGGTCCAACACATCTTGGCCTCAGCCAGCCCGGGGGGTCGAGCTTCAGTGTGGGACCTCCGCAAAAATGACCTCATTATCAAAGTTAGCGACCACAGCAACAGAGTACGTTGTCAGAGAAACCCTCAACATGCTGCATTTTCTCCCAGTTCTTTGGCTCTGTCTACTCAACTTAAACAGTCTAAGATCACTGTTGCGTGTTTCTTTCCAGATGCATTGTTCTGGCTTGGCTTGGAACCCAGAGGTGGCCACTCAGCTGGTCTTGGCTTCGGAGGACGACAGGATGCCCGTCATCCAGATGTGGGACTTACGATTTGCTACCTCTCCTCTCAAGATTCTAGAGCATCACTCAAGGTAAGCACTGATAAATCAGTCTAAATCTAATCTGTTTTATACTTTTGCTTACTGATAACAAGTCTCCCTAAAGACCAAAGCAGACTAAATGTATCTTTCTAACAAGCTTTATCTGCGTATCCAGAGCCCGATATATCATATTCCTTTGATCCATAAGCTAATATAATTCTAAGATATAACAAACACTTGAGTCCACTTACTCTTTCTTGCTGCTGGAATGCTCAATGTAGCATCATTGTTAAACTGCTGCCAACTAGTCCATAAAATACACTGTTTCCTCCTGTCCGAGCTATGCTTGCGAAAACCTGCAGTGTCCAGTGCAGTTCAAAGAATTTTTTAGATTTCTTTTTTCAAAATTCCGCTGTACCTAAGTAAGAACCTTTAGACCTTTAAATAGTGTTGATAATGTGAAAAAAAAGATTGTAACTGTGCTCTTTTTCATCTGACCGTTCATTTGACAGGGGTATCCTGGCCATTGCCTGGAGCTTAGCAGATCCTGAGCTGCTTCTGAGCTGTGGGAAGGATAGCAGGATTTTGTGCTGGAATCCAAACACAGCAGAGGTGAAAATTCTGTGTGTCTGTGTGTGTGTGTATGTTTGTAAACTGACAGTTATCATTTCATGATTGCCACTGAGGTTGAAAAGTCATTTTCTTGAATCCTCAGGTTTTGTACGAGTTGCCCACCAGCAGCCAGTGGTGTTTTGACATCCAGTGGTGTCCAAGAAACCCCGCTGTGTTGTCAGCCGCGGGCTTTGACGGACACATCGACATCTATTCCATCATGGGAGGGAGCAGCCAGGCACAGAGCCAGAGGCACGCTGACCAGGTAAGATTAAGTCTCCTGAAATAAAAGTATTGTTTGGGTTTTTTTTGGCATTTTGCCTTTATTGGATAGCAGTAGTGAAGATATCTCCAAAAGTTGATTCTGTTCATCTGGACGTAGCGTTTTCAGTGGGAGAAACGTTTTGTCACTCATCCAAGTGACTTCTTCAGTCTCAGCTGACTGCAGGTTTCCCCAATCTTATAAACAGTACATTTGCATAATGACTGAAACCAGCCCCCTGAAAGAACAGTGGGCTGGGAGTGAATAGTGAAGATAGACAGGGAAGCGGAGAGGGAGGGAGAGTGGGGAAGACACGCAGCAAAAGGCTGCAAGTCAGACTCAAAAGCTCCCAGACTGAGCTAAACCGACGACTGTTAAAGTATTGTTTTAAAAACAACATTTAACCCTGGAGAACCCATGGGGTCAAATTTGACCCCATGGTTTCCCTAGAAAACCAATGGGGTCGGCTCTGACCCCATTGGTTCTCCATGGTTAAACATTTAAAACAACTATAAGAGTAGCATCATTTATATTAGACTTACAGTCGGGTCCCTGAATATTTGGAAAATATATATATTTTCCAAATATTTTTATAGTAGTTTTGCCTTTGGCAGGGGGATTTTAAATAGTCCAGAGCAAACTTTCAGTTTAATGTCAGCTTGAAATTAACCACACTTATCCTTTCTCTCTTTTTTCAGAACTGTGAATTATTTATTTTTGTTCATATTAATTTGTCTACCTCGGCTCTGTGTGTTTCTTACAGATTAGCAACTCGTTTGGGAACATGGATCCATTTGGGACAGGGCAAACGTTGCCTCCCCTGCAGCTGCCTCAGACTCCAGCTACTCCAGCTGCAGTCAACCCCCTGAAGAAGCCACCCAAGTGGATTTGCCGACCTGTGGGAGCCTCGTTTGCAGTGAGTTCTGTTTCTTTAAGCTCTGATCAAAAATACGGTGAGACTGCTTTTATTTTTTTAAGCACACTGGAAATCTTTTTTGATTTGTTTCCTTTTAGTTTGGTGGGAAGCTGATATCTTTGGAGAATACAAAACCAAACCCCCAGCAGCCTCAGCAGCCCACTTGTCACGTTGTGCACGTGAGCCAGGTTGTTACAGAAACAGCTTTTCTGAAGCGCTCTGATCAGCTGCAGGCCACTCTGAGTTCAGGTAACTTCGTGGACTTCTGCCAGGAAAAGATCGACGTGGCTGAAAATGAGTTTGAAAAAACTGTTTGGTCTTTCCTTAAGGTATGAGGAAGCATTAAAAAACACAATGTTTAATCAATAATGTTTTTGCTGAAATTTGTGTGGATAATGGTAATGTGGATGTTATGTGTTTTAAGGTTAATTTTGAAAGTGACATCCGTAGCAAGTACCTGGAACTTCTGGGGTACAACAAAGAGGAGCTGGCTTTAAAGGTGCGACATGTTATCT